TTTTTTTTTTTTTTATCAGAGGGTCAAACAGGGAGGTTTAGATGTGGGGAGGAGGTGTGTGCTGGGGTTTCATAGTTGGGACTAGCGTCAGGGGCAGAGATGAGGGGACAGTCCCAGGGGTAATGTAAAACTAAGGTATCAGGCCTCGATCCCCCTTCCCCACTGTCTCCCAGCGTGCAAGGCCCTGCTCAGAGGTATGCCTGAGACAATGGGGCTGTCCAGACTGGACTCTGACCTTTGCCCTTGTTCTACTTTGCAGGCCTGCCGACAAGCCCAGCATCAGGCAGAGCAGACCTCCCTGGTGAGGAGAGAAAGGCTCTGTCGGGCCTGAATACCCACATAGATTTTTGTGTTTGGGTCAACACTGCTTAAATTAGGAATCCTAGGGTCTGCTGCTTATAATCTCCAGCGGATGCCGTCTCCACAGGATAGGGCGGTTGGTAAGAGAGGGATTTCTCTTGAGGTTACCTTGAGAGTTGGATAATAGGGTGTTACACACACCCTACTCCAGAACACTCATAGCCAGGGTCCTCCCCCAGAATCAGCCATCAGAAAGGTTTCCTACTTAGAGCCAAGCTGGTCACAGGCACTCTGGGGCTGAGGGGCTAAGACAGAAAGGGGTGCCTTCATTCCAGGGAGTCCTCCATCTGACACAGGCAGTGGCCTAGCCCTAGAGGAGCCCCTGTGTGGTGAGGGAGACAGGATGTCCCCTCCAACATTGTCACTGCCTTGGGCATCCCGGACAAAGTTATGGACACAAGGGACAAAGGACAAGCAAGGTGCCAAGGAGAAGGCAGTGCAAGACGGGGGCACATAGGGAAACAGAGAAGTACAGAGTGGCAGGAGGGGTCGGCTCAGAACGGCCTGTGTGAAGGCCTGGACGGGGAGACAGCGTGTGGCTCAGAACTGCCATTGAATATATCCCCCTGAAACAAGGTCTGAATGGAGCAGTCCCAAAACATGGGGGTCCGGGAAGGAACTGGGAGAAAAGGCCTACTGAAGTTATCTTGAAGACTGTGATTGGGATATCTACATCGGACAGGAGCAAGAGAAAACTATTGCCTCCTGGTAACGATTTTCGTGACAATTCTGTGGTAGAGGGATTCAAGGAGAGAGACAGGCTGCAGTTAGGGAGGTCACTGTGTGGGCGTCCAGGCTGCTGAGATGGAAGGCTGGCAGACGAAGAGGAGGGCACGTGCACCTGAGGGAAGGTGCAGGGGAACCCAGGCAGGGGGAAGAGCAAGCATGGTCTTCAGGGGACAGGGGTGAGAGGTGGGATAGAGAGAGGCTGAAAGGGAAGTTGCTCAGAATGGGGAAAGAGACTGTCTGGGGAAAGACCTCAGCGGCTCAGTTATCAAATCTGAGTTAAGATAGTCTATCTGCTTGGTGAAAACTTTGGGAGGAAGGGGCTAGGGATGTCGGGACCCGGCCTCGGACCGGTCAGCCCGTTGGAATAAAGACCGGAACCTCATCTTATACAACATGGTAATTCTCCCACCTTCCCAAACTCTAGAAGGGCGGAGGGATGGAGACCTAGAACCTCAGGAAAACCACTGTGAAGGGCTGGGGCAAGGCCCAGGAGCCAGGAAAAATGACAGTAGAGAGTCAGAACACTTTCTCCAGGCTAAGCACAATTCCAAGCCCTTCACAAATATTGACTCTTTCAATCCACGACTAGTATTAGCCCCACTGTAAGGATGAGGAGACTTGTGTAGCTAAGTGATGAAACCAGGATTTAATCCCAGGAAGTCTGACTCCAAGGCTGTGCTCTTACCCACAATGCCTACTGCCTCCCAGTCAAAGCCAGAACAGGAAGGAGTCAGGGAACAGCACTGTGGCATGGGGCGGCCATCCAGCAAAGGCCTCTGGACAAACGCTACAATAAATCCCTGTGCTCACTGGGCTTCACAGCTCCCCTCAGAAGTCTTCACGACGGGCTTTTGTGTTTTGGGATTAGTTTTGGTTTTGGTCCAGAAAATAGTCCCTCTTTCTTTTCTAATCTTTATTTTAGATTTCTTTCCTTTTATGAGATGTGCTTCCTGAACTCTGACCCAAGTCCTTGCAGCTGTGCCTCGCTCCCTTCCCAGGTCTTCTGCCTTTATACACCATTTTTAGAGGCCTGCAGTGTTCATTCCGGTCTCTCGGGGTCCTGCTTCTCCAGCCTCTTTCTGCAAGCCACACAGTTCAGTTTTTACTCCTCTCCCACATTCCAGAGTGCCCCCCCCTCAAATCCAGCTCCGAGCTAGCAGACACCCACGGGAGAGTTTTTCCCACAATCCCTTTCTCTTTGCCCTTTCAAGATTCTGATGGGGGAGGGGATGAAGAGGGGCCACCTAGATGCACTGTCTCCATGAAGAACAGTGGCAACATGTACATTGAACTCGGATGAAGGAAGATTAGCACTGAACGTAGCCTATGGTAGAGTGGGGTGATGTGGTAAACCAAACAGCTTTGATTCCCGGGAGCTACCCCGGCCAACCACCCTTTGTTGGGTGCTAAAACACTTGGATTCCAATCTTCCCCTTCTTTCCAATCTTTCTGCTGTTTCATCTCAACGGTGTGCCTTGTATGATTTCTTCTCTCTTCCCCCTTCCCAGGCCTCACCACTGTCCTGGACAGCTTGGCCTCAAACTGGACAGTAACACTGACCAGTCAGGCAAGAGAAGAATCTAGGCCAGGGAGGGGAGGGAGAGTGGAGGTTTTTTCTTCCGTCCTAAATAACTCTTGGCAGGAAAGTTGAGGTGCTCCATTGCCCCATGTCTCTTTTCCTTCCTACCAATGCCAGGGGGCTCAGTCTATCTTCCATCTTGTGCACATTTCCCCAGGAGACCCGGAAGGCCATTTTTCCTGAGGAAGTGGGTATTCCTGCATGACTCACCCCTCAGAGCCCTCAACTCCTTATCCCACCACCCGCAGGATGACCCCAGAGACCATCTGAGCCCACTCAGATCCTACTGTCCCGGACTCTCTGGTCCCTAGGGATGGCAAGGGAAGGAGGCCTCTGGGTCTTCTGCCAGGCTCTTCCCTTACAGCCCAATCCAACCAAGCTAGAGCTATAAATGAGCTCGTGCACAGAGGGGCACGGTTGCCATTCAGTGGGGCACAGGGAGAAGATGGGGAATGCCAGAGAGCAGACAACAAATCCTTCCACACAAACATATGTGTCAATACACTGGATGTGGGGGCGATGTTGGAGAGACAGAGTTTTTCCTCCGGGTAGGGGGCAGCAGTGAGATTCTGCGTTAGAACCACAGAAGAAATGGAACCATAACCCTGCCTCCCCCCTCCACTCAGTAGAGTCATTGCCATTTGATATCCACTGAGACAAGTTGGCTGCTGGGGCTCCGGGTGGGGGCTGGGGGATGGCTCAGAAAACAGCAGCTCCTTTCAGGACCCAGGTTGGCAAGGGCTTTGGGAGGCTGGACTGGCCCAGATCACCCCCCAACACCCCCTCTCTCCCTCCCTCGCCACCACCACCAAAGGACTGGGAGGCGGGGGTGGGGGGGAGTTGGCACTGCCTAGGCCATGCCTATTGCCTCCAAAGACCAGTCCTGGCCCTTCTCCCTGGGGTGGCGCCTTCCCTCCCTCTCCTTCCTCATTTCCTCCTCTATGAAAAACCAGCTATGAGCCAGAACACCTGCTTCCTTCTACATTTGGCCCCCATACCCAGCCTATACCCATAGGAATTAAAAAGCCCTAGCCCTCAGCACAGGATGGTGCCCTCCATCATGCCAGGAACATGTTCAGAAATCCTTCGATATTAGAGAAAGGTTTGGGGGATGAAACTAAATGTGACCCAGTGGTACCAGGCTGCTGGCTCCTCCTCAGGCTGGTCTAGACACCCACTCCAGGCACTCCTCAGCACCCCTAAGCAAGCGGCACTCCTGACAGAAGGGCACGAAATCCCCCATCATTATCTCCCTCCCATCCAGAACTGCCTAAAAGCAGTCCGGGGGTGGGGGGGGGGACCTCAACTACAGCAGACCAGCCAAAAATCTTTGGCCACCATTTGAATTGATGAGCAACATAATCCGGCTTTCAGCCTTGGCCTTCGTTGGGTCCAAATCTGCACTGGCTTCTTCAGCAGTCCCCGTTCCCCATCTTCCTCACTCTGCCCTGGGTGCTCCATTAACAAGAATGAAACCTCAGTAAAAGGAACCCTACTTCCACTCTTGCCCAGTTTTGTACTTCTGGCCAGGGTGTATGTAGCTCTCCTCCCCCAAATCAGGAAGTTCCCGCATTTCTTTCCTGACACAGGTGCCCTTGGTATGTTCCTGACAGGGACAAGGGAATGGATGGGAAGTGCATCTCCGCCTGAAGGTGAATGTTAGAGCCCAGTCTGCCCGTGTTCCTCCAGCCCGAGTGGCCTTGCTGTTTTCCTCCTGGGGAGCTCAGTGTGAAACAGCTGCAGGGGGGAGTTCTAATGAGGAGGTTGTGTCTAGAAGTGGATGCCAAGTCAGAATGGAGGGAAGAGGCCGAGTGGGCAGGGGTCCCAGGCACACCAGGTTACTGAGGATCCCTTATCTAAGCCGTATGTGTTTTTCCTTCCATGTGTGAACTAGTGATAAGGGGTGTCACTATGTGAGTGTCACTGTTTGAGGAGGGGGCAGGGGCTAGGAGTAACCTGATGATCCTGGGAAGAGGGGGCGCTGTCTGGAGTGCCCGTGTGGGGGTGCGTGGTTATAGGTGGCGGTCACTGTATCTGTTGCAGGAGCTGTGATGTAACTGCAGGTCTGCCTAATGGGAATGGGGCATCAGGAAAGCCCCTTCCTTAGCCTAAAGGGCTAAGGTGACCAACTTGGCTTACTTTCTGGGAGCCCTTCCCAGGAGAGCCCTCGTGGGGCCGCCTAAGCCGGGAGGCTGAGGAACAGGGCTATACCGATGAGCCGAGCCAGGGTAGGGACCGCGGGGCCTTCCCCCCTCCCCAACATCTATGGAGAGTGAGGTGACAGGATCCGGGCCGGGGCAGTAGCACTCCCTCATCAGGGCCAGGGGCTTACCTTGGGTCCGTGTGGAGTGGCCCTTCGAATGGGCAGCAGGACTGACTGACGGGGCGGGCAGGAGTGAGAACGGAGCTGTGGGACGGGCAGAGCCGGGACTCTTAAACCGGAGCTGGGATCAGATAAGGGCTGGTCCGGGAGCCGGGGCCGGGGTCGGGCCGGCTGTGGGCAGAGCTGGGCCGGGCCGGGCCGCCCCCTCCCTCTGCAGCTCCGGAGCCAAACTTTGTGTGAATGGAGGGCCCCGAGTGGGACCGGGTTGGCAGGGCGGGGGCGGGGGGGTGTCCGGACTGGCCAATGAGAGCGTGGAGCGCCAGGTCCGCGCTGCCTGGATTGGCGGAGCCAGGGCAGAGGGCGGGGCGAAGGAGCGAGGGAGCGGAGCCCAGACCCAGGGAGACGCAGGGCAGAGCGCAACACCCAAAGACAGAGAACCAGACAGGCTCCGGGAACGAGAGACGAAGAGACGATCCGCGAAGTGATAGAAGCGGCGCTGGCAAGATGACAGGGAAGGAGGAGGTCACATCAGAGTGGGGAACAGAGCGGTAGCCGGCAGGGGCGGTCCTGGGCTGAGTTATTGAGGTGGAAATGAATTCAAGGGCGGACAGGGGCTGCGCGACGGGGACTCCAGATCTTTCAGCACAATTTCCTTGATCGCTGTTCCCTAAGTACTGGGTGAGGTCCTGGATGCGAGATACGCAAAACACCATCCCCACCTGCAGCAGCTGGGTCTGAAAGGAGAGAGGGGGCGCTGGGGGCGGCAGAGAGGGGAAGATCACACTACTTAGGGGGTCCTCGCAGATGAGGGAGGACCCAAGTGACATTTAAAGAATGTGGAAGACTCAGGTACTGGGAGACGATGGGGAGGTCAGTTGAGGCAGATGGAGCTGCATTCACAAAATCCATGAAAATACAAGTCTGATTGGATAATGCAGCAACTGGTGCATTGGACCAGAGAGGACAGTGGTGGTTTTCAATCTTTTCATCACCAAGGACTTCTTTCATCATCAGAATTCATGGGGGTTTTTCTTCTGTTTGTTTGGGGGGTTTTGTATTGAATTTATTGGTGTGACATTGGTTAATAAAATTATCTAGGTTTCAAGTGTACAACTCTATAATTCATCATCTGTATATATTATATTGTGTGTTCACCACCCAAAGTCAAGTCTCCTCCATCACCATTTATCTATCCCCCCTTTACCCTCTTATACCTGCCCCCACACCCTTTCCCTCTGGTAATCACCATACTGTTGTCTGTGTCTATTTATTTTGTTATTTTTTTCACCCAGCCCCCTGAGTATTGAGAGGTTTTTATGCACAGACCCTCACCCTTGGTGTATATTGAGGAAGTAAATAATTATTTCCCCATTTTCATTCATCATATATATTTAACTAGCAACCAGTATTACCATATTGAATTGATACACATCTTTTTTTTTATTTTTATCCTCACCCGAGGACATTTTTTCTATTTTTTGTACAGATAGAGTGTGGGAGGGAGAGAGAGAAAACATCGACGTGAAAGGGACACGTCGAGTGGTTGCCACCCACACGACCCAACCAGGGCCGGGGACAAACTGCAACCGAGGTATGTGCCTTTAGGGGGAACCGAACCCGCGTTTCTCAGGACCGCAGGCCGACGCTCTAACCGCTGAGCCAAACGGGCCAGGGCGATACACATCTTGAAAAAAAAACAAAACTTCAAACATTAGCTTAGTTCAGTCTCTAAATGCCATACGATGGATAAATGTACATTTCAAATAGCACCTAAATTGGGGAATGGGAGTACTGGGCTACAGGTCAGGTACCACAGGCAGAATGTGTTGGGGGAAGACCTGGCGTAAATATAGAACAGTGCTAGTTAGTGGTCAGCTCTGAGCTTCTGAAGGCGATGGAGAGTGATGGCAAGTTCTTGGAGGGTGGGGCAGGAGGCAAAGCCATGGCAGATTGAAAAGATCAGTCAGGAGGTGAGCAAGGTGGAACATGGCAGCAGTCCTAGATTCTTCATTCTTCCTCACCTCATCTTCCTTATCTAATCAATGCATCTACTTTCTAAATCACCTAAATCCTTCTCTCTATCTCATCATTATGTCTTGTGGTCCAGGACGCCATCACCTCTCACCAAGATTACTGCCAGGACCTGGAAGATCACTAGCAGCCCAGGACCCTGACCCATGCTTCACCCTTCTTTCCAGTCTCAAAGGAAGAGGCAACTTATTCATCCTGTCAGTCCCTGTGCCTTTGTATCAAAACCCCAAATGCCTCCTTGCTTACTGGTCACAGTCCAAACTCCTTAGCTCAACACTTAGGGCACTCCTCTGAGAGGGGAGGGGAGAAAGAACCAAAGGGCAGGAGCAAAAAGACATAGCTTGTGGTGAAGGAGAATTCTCAGAAGTTCATTTCAAATGGTCTTTACTTTTACTGTAGAGCAGAAATGTGATTTACTAAAACTCAGGGTGGGGAACGCCCTTCCAGTATGGCTCAGTGGTTGAGCGTCAACCCATGCACCAAGAGGTCACCAGTTCAATTTTTGGTCAGGGCACATGCCCAGGTTGTGGACCAAATTCCCAGTGGGGGGCATGCATAAGGTGGCTAATCAATGTTCTCTCTCACTGATGTTTCTATCTCTCTCTCCTTCTCCCTTCCTCTCTCTCTAAAAAATCAATAAAGAAAAAAAATTTTAAAAAAACTCAGGGTGGGGATGGGACTGAGCAATAAGAAAGAGATGAGATGTTCTAGAACAGCAGAAGAGCAAGACTGAAAAGTATACAGATAGCTTGAATGGTGCTGTCATTTTCTAATTCAAAGAGTGACCTAATTTGAGTTTGTTTTTAAATTATGTTTTATAACATATATATGTACATCTATCATGTGTATTCCTTTCTACGTATCAAATATCAGTTCTTAATGTTTGGGTCTTTCTACAAGGAGAAGTCCTAGAATAGTCACCAGGATCCCAACAGAGGATCAATGAAAAAAGGGTTTAGGAAAATAGTATTTGTGAGTGTTTACTATGAAAGATAGATATAATACTTGAGATGGGAAAACTGAAGTTCAGAGAAGGTAAGTAGCTTGTCTATAGTAACAGCTAAAGTGTTTGATTTGGAACTTGACTTCATGTGTGCTTGTCTCGGTAATACTAGAGTGAATCTGCATGGTTTAAACATAATCTTCATTGTAAACATGAGCACATGTTGGCATGAGAATGTTGCCAGGGTGTGATGTCCAGTGTCCACCACACAAAACGTCAGTTAGGGGAACCATTTACCTTGAGAACCTCCCGTCTCTTCTCTCAGTTTAGCAAGTTGTGACTTTCTTATTCTTGATAGCTCCTGTCAGACTCACCCCTTCCAGTTTTAGCCTCATCTCTTCTTTCACCTTGTTTGACGTGGGGCAGGGTTCCCTCGGATCACAGGGGTAAGTGATCTGTTCTGGAAGAAGAGTCCACAAGTGGGCAGCAGTATAAGGGGCCTCTGCTGGGAAAAGCAGGTGTGGACAGACGCTTTGGGTCAGGAGGTATGATGAGGCTCAGACAGGCAATACTTCACAGTCAAGGAGTTGGCTAGAAAGCGTGGAAGCACTACAATGCTCACTACAGAATTCCACGCCACATTTTAGTGTTCGGGCCCCACAAGGTTGCATTTCACATGGGGCACCTCATAGCTGGATGATTCAGACCACAGGGGAGAAATCCAAGAGGGGCTGAGCTACAGCCCCACAGTCACTAAAGATTATTATTTCGGTATATACAATCTAGACAAAGTCACATTTATAATATATAAATTAGGGCATACTTAACCACATTACTAAAGGATTCTTTTCAGAATTTCTTCAACTAGGTGGTTCCTCTAGTACCTTTTCAATTGAGTCCAATTGATAAAATTTCATTAATATCCCATGCACCAAGGTAGGAGGAAGGCAGCAGGAAATTAAAAAATTAAGTACTAGAACCTGGGAGGCCCGAGTCTGAGTCCTGTCTGTTCTCTAGAACCCATGCCTTACCTGGATCCATACCTTACCTGCAAAGTGAGGACTAATTCTGGACCACTTCTAATGCCATGATTTTTTTTAAAAAAATCCTCACCCGAGGACATGCTTAGGGGTGGGGGAGAGGGAAACATTGATCTTACCTGCCCTGACCAGGGATCAAACCTGCAACAACCCAGGTATGTGCCCTGACCGGGAATCGAACTGGCAACCTCTCGGTGCATAGGACAATGCTCAACCAACTGAGCCACTCCGGCCTGGCGCCAATGCCATGACTTTTACATTTTGATCTACCTCTGCCTAATCCTATAAAGCAAGATAGACCTGTGTTTGAGAAGTCTTCTCATCCTCAGGCTCTGCTGAAAACAAAAGGCCAGCAAGCTCCTCAGCCTCAGCAGGGCTCCATCTCCTGGAGTTGTCCTGTGCTTCTTACATTTCACTCTAATCCCAGCCACGTTCAGTGCTCCAGCCATATCCTCCTCCTGCTCAGAATTTGTTTTCTAGGGTCCCATCCCCTTTGAATGTATAGAAATTGTTATCATCTACCATATCAGCCTCCCTGCTACATTATACTCACATCTTCAACCACCCCGTTTTCCCCATCATGCTTCCTCCCCCACCTCCGAGCTTTTACCCAAGAAGGCTCATGATCTTCCTCAAGGAAATCTCCCCAAATCGGGTGATCCTGGCGCAACCACACACAGCACACAAGCACCCGCCCAGGAGGCAAGCTGAGAGCTGAACTGCATTTTGCTTGTCGATTCGTATACCAGGACTCAGAGTTGTGTCTACTGGAGGGGTCCCCCTTATTATTACCCAGAAGTACCACCTGCTCCCAAGCTACATGGCATACCTAAGGAACACATCTGCTGAGAGGTTTGTACCAAGGCTCTTCAGAGACCAGCAATGTGGCCCAGCTGTGCCCTTCCTGTCCTCAGTGTTCTCCATTTCCAAGGCCAATCCCCCCTCATCACAACTGTACTGACATATTTTATTGATTCCTTGTAAAGTTGCTCACTTTATCTCATAATGTCTGAAAGCTGAGATCTTGCCCATTTTTCTGTATCCTGCTACCTAAGAAAACTTTGTTTCCTCTCACTCTGTTCAAGCTCAACGATAAACAGGAATTGAGGTTAGATATCAGGTAAAGTCCAGGACCTACAGGATTAGTAAATCAGGGGAGGGGG